TGCAAAAGCCACAGGTGACAAGGGCTCTAGTCAAGGGCCGGGAAGATCCCCTGGAGGAGGAAATGGCAACCCCTTCTACTAACCTTGCTGGGAGAATCCCATGTACAGAGGAACCTGGAGGGCTACAGTCCAAGGGGTTGCAAAGAGTCAGACATGACTGAAGTGACTGAGCAACCATTCAATAATTTTTTTTAAAAAGTGTAGTTATATTTCATGAAATATATTATGTCCACATGTAATGGTTTATTATTAGTTCTGTGAAAGTCACTCAGTCGTGTCTACTCTTTTCGACCCCATGGACTATATAGTCCATGGAAATCTCCAGGCCAGAATACTAGAGTGGGTAGCCTTTCCCTTCTCCAGGGGATCTTCCCAACACAGTGATTGAGTCCAGGTCTTCTGCATTACAGGCGGATTCTTTACTAGGGAAGCCCCATTATTGGCTTTGTGTGCTGTGCTTATTCGCTCAGTCATGTCTGACTCTTGGTGACCCCATGGACTGTAGCCCGTCAGGCTCCTCTGTCCATGGGGATTCTCCAGGCCAGAATACTGGAGTGGGTTGCCATGCCCTCCTCCAAGATATCTTCCCAACCCAGGGATCGAACCCAGGTCTCCCGCATTGCAGGCAGATTCTTTACCATCTGAGCCACCAGGGAAGTCCATTATTAGCTTTAGGTGAATTAATAAATGCTTTTAAATTTCTCAATTTAAATGTCCAATCCAGTGAATATCCCACATAAACAAAAGCTCTTTGGGAGTCCATAATCATTTGTAAGAATGTAAAGGGATCCCGAGACAAAAACGTTTGACAAAAGTTGCTTTAAGTGCACCTAACTTTCTGAGCTATCTGCACCTTATTGAAGAGGAAACTAAGAAAAAGATTTAAGACCAGTTTAGGGCCACATGGTCCTACAGTGCTGGGTATTGCGCCCAGATCTTCCAACTCCAGAGCTTGTATTTGTGACTGTAACTTTCCCCTTGAAATTAACCTTTGCCAAGACATTTCAGCAGTATTAAAAAAAAAAAAATCTTCATCATAGTCAACGGATTCTTCCTTCTTTACTGACTAGCTGCGCGATCCTTCCTTATGTTTGTCTCTCAAGTGAACGAACTTGCAGTGTTTGCAGGATTGTCCGCAGTTCGGTTTTCGCTAGGACACTCGAGTTTTCGAATCTGAGTGGGCGACCCCTTGATAATTCCGCCGGGGAACCGAAACCTACAGGGTTCAAATGGGCACTCTCTCCAGACTGAGAGAGGCTCCCACGTTCCTGACTCTCCCGCGCTCAGCACCGCTGACCAACCCTTCACACCTCTCGGCTCCTGGACCCACTTTCGGGCTTTCAGGGACGCTTCTTGGCTACTGATTGGCTGAGCTTAACAACAATGGGCGGGACGCGGCTCCGGATTGGACGTCAGAGCCCCTTCTCCTCCCCTCGCTCTGGTCCCCCAAGCAGCGCCCCAAGAGAGAGGTGCGGGAGCCAGATTCCAGCCAGGGCCTGGGCGGTGCGGAGTGCACCGCCGCGAGAGGCGCCTGCCACTAAGAGCCAGGGCCTGCAGGGGCGGGGCGCCCTGGGCACCAGGGATTGGCGTGCCCGCAGCCTTCTCCCGTCGTGCACCGGGGCGCCGGCCGCTCACCCGGAAGGAGAAGCCGGGACTCTTACTATATGGTGGGGCGCTGGCGGTGTCGTTGTGGGGAGTGGGCGCTGCTCTCAGGTGAGGGGGCGTGGAAGGAGTCGCGGGGAGTGGGTGCTATTCTCTGGTAGGGGCCATGGGTTTGAGCGTCAGCAGTGGTGCTTGAGGTGGGGACCTTGCTGGACATCCTAGGAAAGGAGCAGCCTCACCTCCCGGGATGAAGACGGGTGCTTGGTCCGGATCCAAGGAAGGAAACCTGGCTTTCCATTTATTTTTATAAAATATATAAAAAGCATCTTTCCTTCCCACCCCCCACGCTTATTAGGCAGAGGGGATTAATTGGCTCCTCGTTCGTAAGGAATACAGGAGTTTGCTACGTTGACCCAAACGCTGGGACTAGGAGTCATGGCAAGTATTCTTCGGGGACACGGGAGGCTCTTGCGCTAGATTGTGGTTGCCTTTGTTACTTAGCTGCAAGTAGAAGGAGTGGCAAGTTACAGATGAACAAAAGGATGGAGCAGAGCTGCTTGGCTGAGAACGGGCTGATGTTGGTCAGACCTGGGGGAGCTACTTATGCTACTTGTGGGTGTTTAAGAAGGAGAGCTTTTTGAGTTGCTATACGGCACCAAGGCTGAAGAATGAGCAAGAAAGGATGGGAGTCTCGGCGGCTTATATACTTTTATCACCGGATTTGTTTTTTAACATGTCTTTTGAAGTTTTAGAAAGTACTGAAGTATTAGTTTAAATGGGAGTGAAAATTGTGGAGCTAAAGCCTTGACTTCCTGCTTGGAATTGTTTAGACACAGGTTACTTTATAAATAGCAAACAACTGGATTTTCCCCGGAGATACTGGTGCTGGTACAGGTGGAGAAAATAAACTTCAGACCTGATTGAAAGGGCCCAGGAAATGTAGTTAGCGCTCTATAAGTAGCTGAGAGGGCCACTGACTCTATCCTTAGTTGGGTGACACAGGGATCCATCTCCCAGATCATAGAGCTAAAATTAAGAACTTCCTCTTTTCCCTCCAAGGGAAGAAATGCTTCATTTCCTCCTGAGGAGTGGCATCTACAGGGAGGAAGCTGATGGAGAATAGTAGTTGCTAGAAATTGTTACTTGAAGTCTAGGTTTTTGTGTTTGTCCAGTGTTTTTAAGGAAAGTTACATTGGAAGCTAAGTGCCCTTTAATCTTAGGATTAAGTGTATAGCATCTTGGGGGTCCTCGGACTCCCCCCCCACCCCGGGATTTTTTTTTAAGCCAGTTTATAGCTGTTTGTTTCTAAGTGGTGTGAGTTCCAAAAGAAAGGAGAGACATTTGCTCTCAGAGCCCTTGACTCACTCTTCTTGAACCTGAGAGTGATGACCATTTAGTTACTGAATTATGGTCCTGAATTTGGCAAACTTTTCAAGGCCCTGGAGATTCATGAGCTTCACTTAGTGTGTGGATTTCCTTATCGTCACCTTTCCTGTCCTTAATTTTGTGGAAAGACACTTCAGTGTATTTAACTCTGCTCCTGTGCTGGGAATATACCAAATGTCTGAAATGAGAAGAGAAAAAAATTTTTTTTGTTTTAATCTGAGGAGATTAATTGTTCACGGTGAGTCAACCTGCTCTCTTTGGTTACAGCCATTAGACTGCTTACATCCAGGGTGTTCTACATCAGTTGTTATGGAATTGGGATTTCCCACCTTTCAGTTCAGGGTCCCTTCTTGGTAGTGACTGCATCAGATGAAAAGTCAGAATGTCAGCAAGTATACTATTTAATATGGCACTGCAATCACAGCATTTCCAGTTTGCTGGGCTGTGTAGCCCAGGTTTGTCCTATATCATGCAGCTTTATCTCTGCATGCAGTGTCTGTGTGTGGAGAGACCTTCTGGTATTCTAGAAAAGATTGGGAAAGCTGTGTGCCCTGCTAATTTTGTGGTGTAAACGAGTTCCTCCCTTCCTGAAATGTTAGCCTTGTGTTAGCACAACATAAAGTAGAAGGAAACTCATTACATGCTCTTCTAATGGTAAGGCAGAACTAATAAGAGAATGTGTTTAAAATTAATTGTGGGACTGTAAAAATGAGTGGGTGTGTGAATGGGCATGGGGGGAGGACAGGGAGAGCTTAGAGATAGTCTCATTTTCCCAGGAGCCAGCCTGGATCATTTGTTGGCAGTACATATTGGCTGAAGTCAGTTTTCATTTCAAGGTAAATTGGAAAGGGAAATTAAACCTTATTGTTCCGCTCTTAAGAGAGGAGAGGGGGGTGGAGGCCGCAGCCAGAGTGGATGCTGGTGAAGTGGTTCTAGGAGTAACAAGATTAGTGCTGTATTTTAACAGAAGGTGACATCATGGGCCCCTTTGGACTTGAGTAACCCTGTACCTCAGCCTTCATGGTCCCCTTGTTGGAGTGGGCGATGTTGCTGCGCATGTAAACTGCCACACTGGGGGAAATCAGTGGCTTAGGCTTTAATGAATCTTTGCAAAGGAGCGGAAAACATCCTGAGTCGACCTGTGCAGCTCTGGGGTGCTTGGGCAGAGGTACAAACCGCATGTTGAGAGGAAATGATTAGAACCATTGGCTTGGGTTCTGGAAATGGAATTAGCTAAGAGAAGGTCACAACCGGGCAACCCGCTCAGGTGCCCCCAGAACTCTCCAACTCAGATCTGCCTCTGGGTCCTGTGTGTGCTTAGCAAGACAAAGGGAGGCAGAAGCCTCACTGTTTGTGGGGTTTGGGTTTTCTCTAGATAGCCAGGAGGGGGCGATGTCAGGCTCAGTTAGAGAGTTGTGCTGTGTGGGCCCAGCAGTTCTCAGGCAGAAAGGTTTTCGAGCTCAGCCTGCCAGTTCTGGCCGCCTGGGGCGACATCGTTGACCTGAGCGTGTTTGGGCTAGAGGTGGCCTGGTTCAGAGTCCCTGCCATGGTCTGAGAAGGGAGTGAATCTCTCAGGGCTTTAGCTTGGCCCCCTGCTCATGTGTGGGGGGGCTTCCCCAATAGCTCAGCAGGGAAAGAGTCCTCCTGCAACAGGACATGCAGGAGACACGGGTTTGATCCCTGGGTTGGGAAGATCCCCTGGAGAAGGGAATGGCAACCTGCTCCAGTGTTCCTGCCTGGAAAACCCCAGGGACAGAGAAACCTAATGGGCTACAGTCCAGAGGGTTGCAGAATCTGACATGACTGAGCGACTGTGTACAGTAGCTCATGTGGGGGGATTTTTTTGCTTCCTCTTAAATTTTACACAATAACAAAAAAAGTTGCCTGGATTTCCCCAGGGGGGTCGATTAAAAATTTTCAGGGTTTTGCCCTGGCAAAGAGAGGTGAGTGTAGATGCATACTAACAGAGATTGATCCTGTATCTCCTGTCTCTCATCAGATGTTTTCTTCCAATGGGCTTTTGGTGTAGGATGTTGGAGAACCAAGAGCAGGAGGTAAGCATGTGATTTCCGGAGAACATCTGGATGAAAGCTTGAGGGGCTTTGGGAGATCCAGATACTGCTTGGTGGTGGTGTTCTGACAGTAATACCTTAGTGGTTCTGATGTTCTCAAAGTCAAGCAAAAAGAGGGAAATCAGTAGTGAAGGCATGACTGAGAAATGAGGTTCCATTTTCACTAACTTTATTCATCGGAAGGTACTAGAATGTAAGCTTCATAAGTGCAAGGATTTTTGTCTCTTGTCCTTGTTCTGCCGCCAGTGCCTTCGCATGGTACGTGCCACATAGAGGGTGGTCAATAAATATTTGCTGAATTGAATGAATAAATGAACAAACGAGTGAAAGTTGGCATAGAGTGGAGTACTCTGGCCGCCTGTGTGTTGGAACCACCTTCCTATGTGGCTGAGCTGAAGCTGACGGAGCGTTTCTTACCTCTAGGAGGTGATCACTGTGCGTGTTCAGGACCCCCGCGTGCAGAATGAGGGCTCCTGGAATTCTTATGTGGATTATAAGATATTCCTTCACGTAAGTGTATCCGACTTTGATATTGGGATCAATATACCTTTCAGGGCTGAGGGCCGGTCCTGAGGCAGAACCTGGTTATGGAGGTACTGACAGAAGAAAAGGAAGGAGGAGAGGAAAGAGAACCTGGGGTCTGCCTGAGTTGTTTTCAGGCTGCTGGGTGGCGCTGTGCTCTGCTTGGATCCCCTTGATTGGGACTGTGGCCTGGTGACTTGAGTCCTTGGTGAGAGGGATGATGGGGAGTTTGTGTGAACTTAGGCTTTTCCACCAAACCCTTTCACATGCTTTCTCCTGTAGACAAACAGCAAGGCCTTTACCGCCAAGACGTCCTGTGTGCGCCGCCGCTACCGGGAGTTTGTGTGGCTGAGAAAGCAGCTCCAGAGAAATGCAGGTTTAGTGTGAGTTCTCTTATTTCCTTCTTGGGTCCGAGACTGGCTTCTTAGGTTCTTCCTTGGCAACTGGAGTTTATAATGAAGAAAACTTGGCAGCATGCCAGGTACTAAGGTCATTGAGAAATGTGTTCTTAAATCATGTTTTCAAGTCAGTGAAAAAAAGTAATGACAGAGTTCTCATTTCTAATATTTTGACCTAACAAAGCCAAACAAATCTAAAGAATGTTTTTCTTTTTTTATATGCATAGGGCTAAACAGAGGTACTGCTGGCTGTGTAAATGTGCTTCACTGGTTATCAGGAACTTTTTAGCACCTGAACTAATTTGACACATGGTGTTCCTGTCAGTTTGATATGTAAAATTGTGATTTTTTTTTTACCCCCTTCTTTTTTGTGTAGAGACCTTTATCCAGAGTTACGACAGGCTGAGAGCCATAGGACAGGCACTGTTGTTCACTCCTCACCTACATACTGCAGATAAGCCCTAAAACTGGAGGCAGTTTATGGCAGTGATTCCAACACAGTGTGGTTGCTGAGTGCTGTGGTGACTTTGTTGATGACCAAGCCAGTTAGTTAACATGTGGGATTGATGAGGCTATTGTCATGAGTCAAGCCTTCATAAGCCAATTGGAACTTCCTCTGAACAGATCCTGCATCCTCTAGTCTAGCCTGTTTTTTTTTTTTTTTTGGCCTGTTGTTTTTAAAGCGTGTGCCATGCTTCACAGGAGAAGCTAGGGAGGCTGGAAGAGTTTGTGGATGAGTTGTTGCAACTTGATTACTTTTAGAAAATTCCAAACGTGATCTTCCGGGACTGGAGATGGTGGCCTTAATTTCCACACCCATACCCAGCATCCTCCATGTCTCTATGTCCACATTTCTTCCTTTTGAAATAGTAGTTGAAAGAAAAAAAAAAGAAGAAAAAAAAAAAGAAGTAGTAGTTGATGGTGGGAGTGGGTTTTGTAAACAGTGTAGTCCAGCAGCGTGGAGTTTGTAAGTCCTAGACTCGGTTCAGATACCAGCTCTGCTGCTTACTTACTAGCTGGGTGACAAAGGGAGATGTACTTGGCTGATTCTATTTCCTTACTATTGAAATGGGTACGCTGACACCTTTCTCACAGGGTTTCGAGGAGGATAAATGAAGTAAGGTCTGTAAACGTTTAGCACAGTGCCTGACACCAGGCGTGTCATCAGTGTTAACCCTCTGCCCCTGCCCTCTTATCAAATGCTATTTGTGTTGATTTGTGTCTCTTCTTAGGAGATTTCCTTGATCAGGGACTGGAGTGACTGGGATATTACTTATCTTGGGTATGTGTTACATTGTGTGACCCCACAGGCCTGTACCTGAACTTCCTGGGAAGTCAACCTTCTTTGGCAGCTCGGATGAGTTCATTGAGAAGCGACGACAAGGTCTGCAGCACTTTCTTGAAAAGTGAGTGGACTTGGCAGGCTGGCACTTGCCTCCTGGAGGGGATGGCAGGGGTGTGTGTGCTGTGCAGAATGGCCCCAGGAGCATACAGGCATGTTTGTGTCAGATGCTTTTCTTGCACCCTTGTGCCTTCAGCACTCACTCAAGCCGGAAGGCCTTCAGAGGATGGGGCTGGGGACGGCTGCTATGAGGCGTGATGCTTTGTGGTGTTCTACCTGTGTTTGCTCCAGGGTCCTGCAGAGTGTGGTCCTCCTGTCAGACAGCCAGTTACATCTCTTCCTGCAAAGCCAGCTCTCAGTGCCTGAAATAGAAGCCTGTGTACAAGGCCGAAGCCCCACGTCTGTTTCTGATGCCATTCTTCGCTATGCTATGTCGAACTGTGGCTGGGCCCAGGAAGAGAGACGGAGCTCCTCTCACCTGGCTAAAGGAGACCAGCCTAAGAGGTAAATGAATACTCTTTTCTGAGACACCAGTGGCTAGGATTACTGTAACCTGGGCCAATGAGGTGTCCATCGGTAGAGAAAGTAAGGTCACGGCATTGGTGGCCTTTCAGGAGGGCCCTGTCATCCCATGCATGAGGGCCTTGGGTCTGTGCTGACTCATCCCTGGGAGATGGCTCTCCTATTGCAACCTGGGGAGAAAGAAGAAAAGGCTCTCTTGTTTGTTTTGTTCTTTATCCTCTCCCCCAACCCCCTTTTTCCTTAAATACCAACTTTATTGAGATATATTCGTATACCTAAAACTCACCCTTTCATGTACAATTCAGTAGTTTTTGTTCATTCACGAGGTCGTGCAGCTATCCGTCACCACAGTCAGTTTTAGAACATTTTCATCACCCCTAAAGAAACCTTGTGCCTATTAGCAGTGACTCCCCACGCTCCCCAACCCCAAGCCCCAGCTCTTGGTAACCAGTATCTACTTCCTGTGTGTGTGTGGATTTGCCCATTCTGGACATTTCACACAGATGGAGTCATACATGTGGTCTTTGTGACAGACCTCTGCTGCTGGCACCGTTTCCTGGTGCATCCGTATTGCAGGGCATTTCAACACTTGATTCCTTTCTGTGGCCAAATGCTGCTTCCTTGTATGAATAGGCCTCCCTTGTTGTCCATTCACTTGTGTTTGTCTGTTGATTTTTGTTCACCTGTTCATGCCCTCCTTTTCCCTTTCCCACTTTTTTCCAGTTGTTGCTTTCTCCCAAGACCCGGCAGGAGGAGCTCTCCCTCACCGCCTCCCGGGGAAGAAAAGAATCAGTTTGAGGTGTGGGCTCCTGTGGTTGACTCTGAGGCTCCTCCCTTGGAGAGCCCCACTCTCCCACCCACCTCCTCTCCATCATGCTGTGGTTTTGCAAGACCTGATGAGGGAATCTCTGCTTCTCAGCCTGTGAGGAGAGTCCTGGGAGGGGACCATGCTGTGCCTTTGGACCCTGGTCAGTTGGAAACAGTTTTGGAAAAGTGAGCTCTGCTTGGAGCTCTGGGTTCTGCTTTGAGGTGGATGAAGGCGATGCGGGCAGCGAGACTTGCTCAGCTGGGGTTAGGCACAGGCTGGTGGGGGAGGCTGGGCAGCTTCCTGTTTTACCATGGCCTCTGCTCAAGTTGGTTCTGTGGAGATTGGTCATAACTCCTCAGGCTTCTTCCATAGGGATAAGACACTGTGCAGATGTTTGTAAGTTAAGCACAAGGCCCAGGAGTTGTTGGTTCTGAGCCAAACCCCATATTTACTCTCCTGGAAGCTGATTTCTTTAGATGTTTGTTAATGGGCCCAGGAGCTCAGGTGACTGGTTTGGGGGCCGTAGGTGGCAGATTTTAAGCTACCTTACCAGAGATTGCTCCAACAGAAATGCTTGTGTTTCTGTTGTGTCATTGTATTCCAACTGGCTATGTTTTTGCCGAAGCCCCTGGAGCACTGGTTTCTGGGAGGCTGGCCTCTTGCTACCTCCTTGCATGGACAGTGGGGGGTGTGGGGGTGTGAATATTTTTTCTCCCACCTCCTTTCTTTTCCTCCACTCATAACCACTGAATGGGATGGTGCTGTGACTCCTGTCATTGGGGTTTCCTGCCCATCCCGGGACCTCGGCCTGGCGGTATGGGGCCTGAGACATGTGAAATAGCTCGTGGCCGTCCACAGAAAAGAAAGGTTTGGTCACAGCCAAAGGACAGGGAACGGTTCAGGGGGCTTTGTTTTGGGAAAGATACCCTGGACTGTCCCTGCCTCTCTGGTTATAAAGCCGAGATGGACTGTCTTCTCTGCAGGGTTACTGAGCTCCTTTCTTGTTTGAATCCTTTTCTTCTCCCTTAATAACAGCTCCCTTTCCCCAGGGCTTCAGCCACCAAGTGTCCCTCTGCTGTGTTGCAGGAGGCAACACTGTTCAGTCCAGTGGGGTGTGGGGGCTTTGTTTCTGCCTGGAGAGAGGGCTCTGGGGATGGAGATGAGAAACAACACGCCTTCCTTCAGACAATGAGGCATCCTGCCCTCCTGCTGCTGTAATTCTCTCCTCTGAGAGCTGGAGCAGGAGGAGACGAGTGCTGCTGGCGTTCTGCTTATCTGCCCGGGCGTCTGTGTGCGGTTCTTCTCCATCTCGCCTGCCCCTCCCTCCCCTGGCCCCCACACCCTGTCCATGGGCTCTTCTGCTACTCGCCTATGCTGTGGGACTGTCATGGCATTTAGTTCAGAGTTGCGGGGCTTTGGCCTGAAATAAAATTCAAGTATTTAAGACTGTTGTTGCAATTGGTGTCTAACAGGCTGTAGCAGTGGAGGAGGGATTGAGGGCTGGCAGTAGTTACTTTCATAAATCATGAATTTATCAGCGTGGAAATAATGGTTCAGAACTGTGCGCGGCAGCGCTCCTGCATTGTGTGTGCAGCTCAAGTTCACCACTGGAGAAAGGATTGTCTTCCAAAGAGGCAGGATCCAGCTCTTCTCAGAGTGATGGGCATGAACCTTGTTAGGTGTAATTTACCTGATGCTGCTTCCATCCTTGCAGCCTGTCTGAGGTGCCAGGTGCTGAAAGAGAAATAAAGTTTGTCAACAGGCAGATGCCGAGCCCTGGCTGGGACTCATCTCTCTTCTCTGCCTGCCTCCCCTGGGTCTCTCTTTTATATGATGCAGCAGAGCAAGGCGAGGAGAGAAAACCTACAGAGGCAAATCCAAAATGTCAAAAGAAGTTCATTTAAAAGGGGAAAAAAACTCTATACACAGCCCTCACAAAAACCCGACAGATGCTAAGCTAATGGCATCCGCTCTGCCGATTGGTGGGGATGACTCATGAATATTAATGAGTCCAATGCTCCAAATGGTGCAGCTGTGAACCCAGCTGTGCTTGAAGCTCTCTGATCTCGAAACTTCCAGACAGGAGCCGGAGGTGGTCTGTGTCAATTCCCTACTCAGCCAAAAAACAGCAAGCTGGGTCGGCCTTCTTCTGTTCACTCCTTTTCTTCCTGGAGTTGGTGCGCAGCAGCTAGTTCTGTCAGCAGGGTTGGCTGCTGGGATGCAGGAGCCGGTCAGAGACACGAATGCGACTTTTCTGACTCCTGGCTTTTTTAATGGTCCTTTATCAGCAATGCATACAGCAGGGCCTCAGTTAATCTAAGGCCAGGCGCCGTCGCGGAACTGCCTTGTGCAGAGTTGAGTGTAGGCCATGGAAGGAGATGTCCTAATGGAGGGAGAGTTTTTCTAGTAACGCGGGCCTAGAGTTACCAGAACAGCAGAGCTGGATTTTCCTCTCCGGCTCGGCAGTGCCGCCTGCCTCTCCCCCATCTCGCTCTGTCCCAGTGTGTACATGGATGCTGCCATGGCTGATAGCCTCTGTAGGGAAGATGGGAAGCTACTGGGCCAGTGGCCTGCTGAGCTGTTTTGTAGAATGGAAATATTTTTTTTTTGTTAGAATTTGGGTTTGAGGTAGGTTCTGTGTCTGACTTACAGTCACTATACTAATTTTTTTTTTTTGCCTATGCCACTCAGCATGTGGGATCTTAGTTCCCTGAGCAGGGATTGAACCCTTGCCCCCTAGAGTAAAAAAACAGAATCCTAATCATTGGACCATCAGGGAAGCCTCTTGTCATCTTTCTTCTGACAGTTACTTATGTGGCCCAAGTCTAGTCATCTCTGTAATATAGGATAAGTGATCCCGAAGTCATAGATTCCCTTTTGTTTGGTGGGAGGAAGTGTGTGTGTGTGTGTGTGTGTGTGTGTGAGAGGAGGTGGGTTTTCTTTTTTTTTTTTTTTTTCCGGGATATTGTTTTTTTTTTTTTTTAATTTATTTATTTTTTTCATTTATTTGTATTAGTTGGAGGCTAATTACTTTACATCATTGCAGTGGGGTTTGTTATACATTGAAATGAATTAGCCATGGATTTACATGTATTCCCCATCCCGGTCCCCGCTCGGAGGTGGGTTTTCTTGTGTGAAAATGAGTTTCATACACATTATTTATTTGACCACGGTGCCCAGTGAGGAGGGGGCAGGGCAAGTATCACCCTCATTTTCTAGCTGAGGAAACAGGTGATCATGGTTTTTTATTTTTTATTTTTTTTTATCATGGTTTTTAAAAAGCATGTTTTGGGTAGAACATATTCATTTAAGAGATACTTCCCAACTTCTGTAAAACAAGATTTTTTTTTTCCCCCAAAAAAAATCTTGAAAAAAAAAGCTGGGGACTTCCTTGGTGGTCCAGTGGCTGAGACTCCATGCTCCCAAAGCAGGGGGCCCAGGTTCGAATACACATACCGCAGCTAAGAGTTTGCATGCTGCAACTAAAGATCTTACATGCAGCAATGAAGATGGAAGATCCTGTGTGCGGCAACTAAGACGTGGTACGGCCAAAAAAAGGGATAACTAAGTCCCCCACTGTTCAAGGAAAAAAAATAAATTTCCCCGCATAGCTTTTCAGAGTTGTTCTCAGAAATCCTCCACAGTCCAAGGTTTGCTCACCACTAAGGCCTTAGAGCTACACTGCTGAGTCCCAGGTGCCTCGTATCCGCTCCCATAGCTTTGCTTAGGAGGCGATTGTGACTTTAGTGGTCTGACTGGACAGTAAGTTTAGATCCATGTTTGTGAATTTGTTTACATTAAGGGTTCAATCCCTGGTCAGGAGTGGGGAGGGCAGTGGGCTGGGAGGATGCGAGGTTGGAGGAAGGAATGGAAACAGCCCAGCTCCTGGCCTGCCTCACAGGGACCACAGGGACATCCCACTGGGGGCTGGAGTGGCTTCTGATTTACGTGTGCGTAGCCAACTGAGGTACAGCTGAAACCAAGCTGAAGACCACTGCAGTACAAGCTCGGGATGCCTGGACACTGGCCCTCAGCCACCTCCCCGGGCGGCCTTCTGCCAGCAGGGACCCGGCTCTGTAGGGGGACTGTCATCTGGCTGAAGGTAACCTCTCTGAGCTGTGGGTGAGTGTCCCTCTTCCTGCTCTGTTTACAGCTGTACCTTCTTTCCTGAGGGTTTTTCCAATCTGCTGTGAAAGCCTCCCGCCCCCACCACATTCTCTCATCTTCATCCTGCCCCAGCTCTTCTAAGGAACCGTTGTCAACTGCTACAGTGACCAGGTGTGCATTGGGCTTACCAGCAGGGCAGCAGAAGTAACCTATTGAAGACAACCACTTCCACCTCAGTTGTGGCTGGATTTAGAGCTGGAAGGCTGGAATCTCAAACCTCAAGATAAATAAACTTGGACCATTTATGTTCGAAAGGATAAAAAGTGCCACATTTTTAGGAGACTGTGCACCTGACCCAGTGAGCAGAGTCAGTTTACTTCCTTTCTGTTCCGGGGAGACCTGGTCTACTTCCACCAGCAGAAGAGGAGGAAAACAAGGGTACTGACACAGCAGTGAGGGAGGTGTGAATCTTTTTTTTTTTTAATTGTGTTTATTTATTTATTTACTATTTGGCTGCTCCAGGTCTTAGTTGCCACATGTGGGATCTAGTTCCCTCACCAGGAATTGAACCTGGGCCCCCTGCATTGCAAACACGAAGTCTCAGCCACTAGACCAGCAGGGAAGTCCCAGGAGGTGTGAATCTTAAGTAGAGAGATGGTGAAGCAACTGTGAGAATGAAAGGACCACCCAAAAGTCTTCAAGGGCTTCTCCCCTGGAAGGGCAGGAACACGAGATGCTTCTGTGATCTGTGGATTAACATTTCTTACCTGTGGCTGTCAAGTCCTTCCTTCTGGTTTTCAGCCTGCTCGACTTTTTCTTTCAAACAGCCTTTTGAAGGGGCCAGCTAGTTAGAGCCTTTGTGTGTGTGTTTTAAGTGTTTTAGCCTTTTAGGTGCTCTAGCCCAGTGTGTGTCCCTTCCCCTGGTGGCCTGGTTGGCGTGGGAAGCCAGGCCCACCAGCAGCCTGACCTGAATCCCTCTAGCAGAAGCCCAAGGATAGTGAGAGCTTGTGGTGGTTTGTTGGAGGCAATGTAACCTGCCTGCTATAAGCTACAAGGCTTAGATATATTCTACCAATTAGGGC